GCAAGCGGTGGAGGAGGGGGGAGAGCGTCTAGTTGCCTAGTCACTTACATACCTATTCCCAACCCATAGTATTCTGGGTAACCCAGTTAATATATGCTTAACTTTACCTCACCTTTTTATCCCTATTTTGGAATTGTAGACACAGGCAAGGAGGTGAAGGGGGGCTGTGATTCTCATAAGGATTCAAAGGAAGGAGCCCCCACTAGCCGGGAGGGAGTGAGCCCCCCACCCAGGTCAGGCTCAGGGGAGGGAGAACCCCCCAGCTTCCTCCAAAATGGGGCTGAGAGAGCCCTCCTGCCCTGGGAGGGGCCAGAGGAGAGGAAGAGAGCCCCGCTCCCAGGGACAAGCTGGTGGGGAGGGTGCAAAGTCCCTGCTCTCCTGAGTCACCCCCTGCCCTGATTCCTGCACTCTCCTGTGCCCCCAGTCTCCTGTTCTGAGCCCCCACATCTCCAAGGCCTTGCCCTGACTCTGCATTCCTCACACCACCTGCCCCCTGTCCTGAAGGGCCAGGGCAACACCAGGTAAGTCCTCTAATATTGAATAATACTGGTAAAACCTCTGTAGTAAGATTAATGCCTGAAACAAAGCCCATAGGCTACGTCTAGACTGGCATGATTTTCCGGAAATGCTTTTAACGGAAAAGTTTTCCGTTAAAAGCATTTGTGGAAAAGAGCATCTAGATTGGCACGGATGCTTTTCTGCAAAAGTCATTTTCGCGGTCGGGGCTTTTTTGCGCAAAACAAATCTGAGCTGTCTACACTAGCCCTTTTGCGCAAAAGTTTTGCACAAAAGGGACTTTTGCCCGAACGGGAGCAGCATAATATTTCCGCAAAAAGCACTGATTTCTTACAGTAGGAAGTCAGTGCTTTTGCGGAAATTCAAGCGGCCAGTGTAGACAGCTGGCAAGTTTTTCCAGAAAAGCGGCTGATTTTCCGGAAAAACTGGCCAGTCTAGACACAGCCATGTAGTGTGGGCTATGAAGCCTGAGGCCTAGTATAATGGTCAAGGCTTTGCTAATATAAAGCAAAGCTAAGCTGTGAGGCAGGCCCCTGCTCATGGAACTTGGCACAAACAGTGTAAAACACTAACTGGTAATAGGCCCAGGTGTGGAACAGTAATTGGTACAAGGTACCAGCTGTAAAATGGTAATTGGTACTGGGCATAGGTTGAAAGCACATTCCAGAAAGACAGTAACAACACCTCATTAAAAAGGACATTGGTACCTGCACACCCACCACTGATAATAGGGACATACTGATCAAGATTTAGGGAAGTGTCTAAAATGGCAGCAGTAATGGATAGAGAGTTTCTAATTGAACCACCAGGTGCAGGGGAATGGGAGGTATCTAAGTAACGTCAGAGGGTGGCACCTTGTTATGTCAGGAGTGATGTGTGACTTGTTTGAACTTGTATATAAAGTGGTGTCTTGAAGGGGCTGTCTTTGGCTTAGGGATCAGTGAGCACTCTGACTGACTGAGCTGACCGGCGTGGTTCGGGAGAGTCTACTGAGAACTATTACTGCACTTTATAAACCTGGCGCCTTCAAATCTGATTTTGTGGTCTTTGGGGGCTCTCCCAGAGTCTGCTGTATTGACCACCTGCACAAAGTGAACACAACACATAGGAGGAGCACGCGTGCATGCAGCATCATTGACAGAGCAGGACACCACAATGGCGAATTCTGACAACCACAATCTCTGGTGTGGATGAAGTTAGATCAGCATAAAGGTGCCTCATTCTGGTATAGATTAGTGCCCTGCAGAAAGAGGACTAAGGAAGGAGGGAGGCAGTATGGCTTAGTGGATAGTGCAGTGGCGTGGCACTCAGGTGGCCAGAATTCCTGGCTGTGCCGCTTACCTGTTGGGTAACCTTGGGCAAGCCACTGCCTTGCTCTATGCCTCAGTTTCTCCACCTGTAAAATCCTGCTTTGGGAGCTATGAATACCAAGTACAGCAGAAGAGCTAGGAGATCACTCTGCTATAGGTTGAAGGCACCTTTGTAAATGCTGTGCAGAATAAACTGCTCACTCAGCAGACCACTGGGGGAAATTCCCCACAAGGGTGAGCAGTGGTTACCCGGTAACCAGGCATGGAGCAAACTCCCTGTGATGTCATGATAAGTCCTCCACAGCCCCCTCCCCAACAGACAGTGTTACATTAACCCACCACAGGGACGGCGTGAGCGCCTCCTGCAGGTACATAATGTGTGAACAATCCAAGGAGGGGGGGTGTATGGCTGACAAGGAGGATGGGCCAGTGGGACCCAGCTGTTCTGAGCTTTGATCCCATCTGTTGTAGTGCTGGGTAAATTGCTTTGGCCGTGGGTTTTCTATGAGAGGAAGCGTGGTCTAGAGGGGAGAGGGGGAAGAAGAGATACTCAAAGCCACACAGCAGAGCTAGGAATAGCCCTAGGTGCCCTGAGCCTCTGTCCAGTATGCTAGCCAGTGGGCTCCCCTACCTCTGCTGCCTTGGGGGTTGTTAGCCATGTGGCACATGCCTTTGTTTTAGCTATGCCAATAGGAAGCCCGCAATGCGAACAAGATGAATGATGAGAGGCAAAATAATTCCACCTCCTGCATCAGGGTGAAGATCCCCTCTGTCCACGTAAGTGCGGCCACGCGCCCAGCCACGCCGTGGCTTTCACTCATGACGTTTGCTCGTGAGCTGGGTAATGGTGAAGTCAGTGGCACTTTCTGGGTCCTGTGCCCTCTAGAGCCTGCTGCAGTGTTTGAGCCACAAAAAGCCACCCAGGGAGAGTGTTCACTGGCTGAAGCCTCCCTCTGCCTAGCTACACAGTTTCAGGAGTGAAATCCAACCCCCCAGAACCCCTTTAAAGACCATGGGATGCTGCCTTAACATGTCACCTAGTACTAACCTAGGGACGGTGCTCTTCATTCCCACTTCCAATATTGTTAAGGAAACAAGTGGTGACAAGCCAGCAACCAGTTGTAGGGATGAGAATGGAAGCAATGGGGAAATTAGGGAGGTGGTGCGGCTACCAGAGAGCCGTGGAGTGACTCTGCTTAAGTCAATAGCTATAGGGCCAGATTCTGATCTCAGTGCTCCGAGGGTAGATCCAAAGTCACCCGCTGACTGCAATAGAGGTCAAAGCTGGATTCTGATCTCTGCTCCCCCTGGGGTCCATCCAGAGTCACCCACTCACTTCAACAGAGTCAGCCCTGGATTCTGATCTCAGTTCTGTCTGAGCAACTCCATTGAATTTCACAGGGTCAGGGCCCTGATCTCTTGCACTGTAGTTCAATACAGCATAATCCCACTGTCGTCAGTCAGGTAGGGACTAGATCTTGCTTTTATTGAATCTGGTCTAAAACTGGAGTAATTGCAGATTGATAGGCGGAAGAGTCAGTGTCTTAGCCCACCGGAAACCCATGGCATCACTCCAAATAGCACATTGCAGTCCTTATTCGTGTATTCTTGATAATGTGCAGTTCCCCCTTTCCTATGTGGCCACAATTCACCAGGACTCCCTAATGGGACCCCCATATCGCCTCTCCCAGGTGGAACTCAAACCTGGTGACCTGATTGAGATCTTCCGCTCATGCTACCAGCACTGGGCCATCTACGTTGGTGATGGCAAAGTCGTCCATCTGGCTCCTCCTTGTAAGTGCCCCCTCCCTAATGTGGGAGGTGTGTTCTTCTGGAGGCTGAAGGTGGGTCCCTGCCACGAGAACCTCTCTTAGGTGTCTCTACCTGCAGATTGCTTTGGCTTCTGTGCAGGATGTGCAGTGTTCTGTGGGGAATTCCATGCCATGGGAGTTGTGTGCCTTGGAGATCAGTAATGTGACTGCCATGCCACAGTGTAGTACTGCCTGCTGCCCCTAGGGGGAGCTGGAACTGCCACAGCCCTGTAGGGTGCAGTAGGGACTGCAGCCACCAGATGATTCAGCGCCTACCCTGCACTACCCTTGACTGCCACTACTGGCGGGACAGGGGGCTGCAGGCAGCACAGGGTGGAGGTGCTGAGCAGAGGATGGCTGTGTGCAAAGCTCCCTACTCCCTCTGCTCCTGCAGCCACTACAAAGTGGGGTGTGGGGTGCCCATCACTGCCACTGCCCACAGCTTCCTGGGAGGCCAGGAGAGCTTTGGGGAGGAATCTCCCTGTGGCACAGACAGCTCAGAGCCAACTCAATGGATCTCGCACCCTCCCTCCCAAGGTGAGCACCCCATGGACGGCGTTGCCAGCGTCCTGGCTGCCCTGTCCGACAGAGCCTACGTGAAGAAGGACCGGCTGGAGGTCGTGGTGCGCAAGGACCGCTACCGCGTGAACAACAAGCATGATGAAACACACCCTCCGCTGCCCGTCTCCAAGATCGTCCAGAGCCAACTCAATGGATCTCGCACCCTCCCTCCCAAGGTGAGCACCCCATGGACGGCGTTGCCAGCGTCCTGGCTGCCCTGTCCGACAGAGCCTACGTGAAGAAGGACCGGCTGGAGGTCGTGGTGCGCAAGGACCGCTACCGCGTGAACAACAAGCATGATGAAACACACCCTCCGCTGCCCGTCTCCAAGATCGTCCGGCGGGCCAAGCGGCTGGTGGGGACGGGGACGCCCTTCAAACCCACGCACG